CAAAAACAACGGTGCTTTTTATTCGCATGCGACACCGGAGTCTCAGCCAGAACATCCCTGGACAAGGTGAGAGTGTGTGCGGACGGGGTATCGGTTGCAAGTTGGAAACTTGGTCGCTAAGTCAATGAATCAACAAACCATCAGTTAAGATCCATATAGCTTGCAGGCTCTGATCTATGCAAATATCCGTCTACCTGTGTTTCGTTTAATGTCTGTCTATCCTTGACTTCAAAATAGAAAGATGTTTTGACTGATAAAAAAACAAAGATGGACCGGGAGTATCGGTGTTCCGGTTTGCTTGACTGCCCAATCAACACCGAAAGGCGGTGAAGTATTCTGACATTGGTAGTCACCACGGTTAGACAATCATATTGCTCGGATGGAATATTAATGCAAATCGATTAATTAACATGTGTTGCTTTAAAATAAATATCTAATCACATTTACGATATGAACACAAATTGTTGAGCCGCATTTTCTGCGATCTGAGCATGAATAGAGTGGACCAGTGTTAATTTGCTTGAAAGCTAGGTCATAAAATTGGACACTTAAATTACCAATAGGTGAAATCGTATGGTAGACTGATTGGAGACAAGGGTTCGAAAACAGATAAAACACCGCAAACTCACCTTCTTAGTATAGTCAACGAATGTTGCCATCAACTCCGCCTCCGCGTGGCGAAAATATTTCCCCACCCTTAACAAAAATAATCCCAAATATGTAAACATTCCGCGCAACTGAGGCAAACTGAACGACATCTCCCTCGGTAAACACTCGCCGTTAACAGTTTATTGGCGAAAGTGCGAATTCGACACCCGGACAGAAAGCGAAGTTATTGAAAGAGGGACAGAAAAGACAACGCACTTAGCCATTAGCTGTTTCATTTTAGGGCGAAAAACTTCCGGACTTAGTGGATAGATTTGGATACGGCGAATGACAAATACGAACTCTAGCCGATTCTTAGCATACCGCGATCAAACTGATTCTGATTGTGTTAAAGATGTGAGCAAACATGTTCTTTTGATAATAACTTAAACTACTTTAAAATTCGACACTTGGAAATCGTGGGAAAGATTTCAACAATTTCTAGCAAAACATAATATCACAAAGGCCATTCCGATAGATCAACGACATCCGCTACTAATTAATCCAACGATATTGTTCTTCTTCTTTTTTTTTTTCATTTAGATACAAATTGAAATTCGACAACATGTAACATTACAAATATGCTCTTCATTTATTTTCTGGAAACTGAAGAAAAAAAAATGTTCTTCAACATTAGACGAGTGAATGAGTATCTCGATCTTGCGAGTGTTGCAAATATTAAAGATGGAATTGACTAAAGTGAAGTATTCCAAAATAAAGTCTCCGACTTTTTTTTGGCAAACTCTTATTACAAATTGATATAATTATGAATACGTATATCATTAATTAGATGTTCCTCATTATGTACTTCTAGGCTCTGGGACTCTTTTGTCTGATTATCAATATAATCACAGAAAACTTAATCAACAATTAGATCATCATTATTCTTATTAACGAAATATACTTGAATTTAGTATCACCCTGGATAATAATTATGTTTTGGAAGCGATTGGTGTGATGCAAATTTTTTTAACAACAATTATTGATGAAAATTATTTAAAATATTGCTTTGCAGATTTTAGAGACAAAATTGATACCAACATTCTGAAACACAATTGTGGGATTTTCAAGTTGCTAGTGTGACACCGATAACGATTTCGAAAGAAGTTTTTTTTTTTTTTTCGTTTCAACGCTCTTTCTGGGCGAGTGTTTTTGTAAATCTTTCTCAGTACGTTATGAAACAGTAACAACCCCGTAGTTACGTTGTTAAAAAGATGCGATCAACTCACGTATTCGATTGCTGAGTTTTTTTATAGTTAATTTAAAAACGAAAGCCGTAACCTTTACTAAAATCATTTTTTTTTCACCTAAAACGATAATATAAATGTTTTGGTAAAATTGACCAGAATTTTTCGTTACTATGTTTGTTTATTTTCAGTTATTTACTATTAATCATTTGTTTATGATTGTAGTCATGGTTTTATATTTTTTTGCGAGATATCCGAAGTGTTCATCTGCGTTCAGTGATATATACTGATTTCGGTGAGACGAAAAAAAAACGCCATATCATTTCTAAGATTTGTCATTGAAAACACAAATCCTTGGGGACAACAAACTTACACATAAAGAGGGAAGGCTTATTATATTACACTGAATGTAAAAGGTGGAGATTAAAATTCCAGTGATGTAAAACGGACCCTAATTC